TATGCATATTGACCCAGGGGCCCCAGAAACATGACCTTCATTGGACAGAGCACCCCTGATAGACAGAAAAAACTCCAAAAGGAGAAAGGAGCAATAGGAATGAATGAAGAAGCCCTGGGTCTCCCTATACCTCACTGATCATTTCCCCACAGGAGACCTAGGTACAATTGACAGTAGGCAATGAACTGATGGACTTTTGAGTAGATACAGGGGTCACACACAGTATCTTGAATACTAAATTGACACGAATGCCCAGAAGACTGTCTCCGTGGTTGGGATCTCAGGTCAAGCACAACAAAGCCCAGCAAAGGGCCATATCTACGGAAAATGGCCCATATAATCACCCAGAGATGCCCTATATGTCCAAAGAATAATCAAAAAATGAGAGACACCCACCAAGCCAAGGGATATAATATAAAGGGGAATTGGCAAATGGACTTTATCTGATGCCTAGGACTACTGGGAATTTTAAATATTTACTAGTGTTTGTAGATACCTTTTTGGGATGGGTTGACTTTTTGGGGATGGGTTGAAGATTTCCCCACCCAAAAGGAAAAATCTTCAAACATTGTAAGACTCTTGCTAAAGGAAATTTTCCTAGGTTTGGTTTACCCTACACTATTCAGAATGATAATGGACCTGCCTTTGGATTTAATGTGGTACAGAAAGGAAATATTGCTTTACAGATCAACTAGAAATCATATGCTTCATGGAAGCCTCAAGGAAAAATAGCAAAAATGAATCATACACTGAAAAAGACTTTGGCCAAAATCTGTCAAGAAACAAACTTGAAATGGGATAAAATTCTATTGCCCTGCTCTGCATTAGGGTTGCCCCCAGAAGCAGGCTAAAATCAAGCCCTTTTGAGATTATAAATGGAAGACCCTTTCAGAACTCGCTCTGGGGACATCACCTTTAGACTAAGAAAGTGAAAATAGGAGTAAACAACATGTAAAACTTTTGAGTCAAATATGAACTGTTTTGCACAAGTTTGTCCCCTCTCGGTCTATGTATCCATCAGATGAGCCACTACATCCTTTCAGGCCTGGAGACACAGTACTATTAAAGACCTGGAAAAATTAAGGACCCAATCAGCAGTTGGCTGAGAAATGGTTGGTGCCTTGTGAAGTCTTACTAACCACTCATACATCTCTAAAACTTGCAGAGGTAAAGTCATGGATGCACTACACCAGGGTGAAGAGGGCTCCACCTACTGACAACAAGAGGCCACTAAAGCCCCCCGGTGGGGAAGCCATCCTATTCAGGATTTAAAATACCCCTTTAGGAAAGGAAATCCATGACAACTGTGTTCACTCTGTGATCCATATTAACCATGTCTTCTCTCACCCTAGATTGGAAAGACAGGACACTAGGATGGGTAATTCAGACTTTGGCTACAGCCACATGTGCTATTGATTGTTGGACATGTCATCCGAAAGCCCAGTCAGTGCTCGACCATGGAGACCCCTTGGTCCACTCCATTTATAACATCTCAGAAATCCCCAAAGGCAATTGGTTTCCAATCCCTAAGGCCAGGATAAAAATGTATAGGGTTAGAGGGCACCTGGCTGGCTCAGTCAGTAGAACATGTGACTCTTGATCGCGGGGTCATGAGTTCATATCCCACATTGGGCATAAAGCTTACTTAGTTAAAAAAAAAGACTATTTAAAAATCTATAGTGTTAGAATAGCTAGATTCTCTCAAAATGATCATGAGGCACCCCAGTGTCTCATAGTCCCTCTAAGTACTGTACTAAAAGAGGTTATTTTCAAAGGACAGAAAATAGGCATGTATTCCCCAGTTAGATAGCACATGAAACCATCTTGCAAAAGGGACCAGCTCCCTATGTGTGAACAAGAGTCTTGTTTTCTTTCTGGCTACAGGTGATAGCCATAGCCAGGTTCAGGTGAGCAGAGATTGGATGGAGTGAGCTGCCCTGTCGGTAAGCTGATTCTCACGAAGACTTGAGAAGGACTCCACCTTTCGTCATTGTGCTGTGGCTGGGTTTGTCTTTACTTGCAAATCAGATGGAGTCCCCTGGGTCACGGACTGTATTACAAATTCTTCTACCCTTTCTGGACACCCCAGGAATCCCCTCGTCCCTCTACTTGGCTAATGAGACTAAACACTGGGCTAGTTCCCTGAAATTATTTACTAGACTTACTGTGACCACACAGGCAATATCCCTGATGGGGACGAATATTTCTTTGGTTACACGGTGTTGCCATAATGGGAAGCTGCCACTCAGCAACATGTGCTTTGCAACTTGTCCCAAACTCTAACCATCACGAAACCACCGAATCTTTGGCTAACTTGAGCAAATATCATTAGATTCCCTAAAGGCCTGCATAAGCATATGGCCCTAGACTATATCCTAGCTTATCAAGGGGGAGTTGATGTTGCTGCAAATTCATCTTGCTGCGCTTATATCAATACCTCCTCAGAAGTGGAAGCCAGTATTGACAAAATCAGAAAGCAAGCCACTTGGTTGCAGCAAACTCTAGATTGCCATACACCCCTGTTCCAGAAAGGATGGAATTGGTTCACAAACATCTTGTCCTGGATACCATCAGGACTTAGGTCCATATGAGAAGGCATTCTAAGGCATTCTAAAATTAGGACTCACCCTCATGCTAGTAGTATGATGTGTATACATAGGAATTAAGCTCATTACAATGTGTGCGACAAAACTGTGCAAGCAAGTCACATCAGTTGTGCATAAAGGAATGCTTCAAACCCACATTAACATGTTCCATTCGAAGGTCCTGACTATGCCCTATATCAGCATGGAGAAGCTACGGAAAATGGACCTTGGTCCTTAATCCCATAGATATGGAATGGTAAATTGACAGTGGGGAATTGAGGCCGCCTTGATCTTCATAACTAGCAAGATGGTCTTTAATAGGTGTTCTTAAGTTCATATGATTGATTTACTAACCCTCCTTGTGAATCTATAAATCTTACCTTCCTTTCTAGAAGGAGAATAGAAAGCCCTCACACATCCCAGAATGGGAATTAGGCCTCTTGCACTACCCTCAAGCACTGAAAGTTGTAAATAGGCACCATGAAATCTACAGAGAATTAGGAAATGATACAGGCCACTGCACCCCCTCACTGATTAATAAGACCTCCTGTCCTTCTAAAACCCTCTTGGCGAGACAGAAACCTCAGAGTTGGCTTTTGGACAAGTGTCTGCCTTCTCTCCAGGTGGCTGGCCTTCTGAATAAAGCTCATATTCCTTTCCAATCAACACTTATCTCTTGAGTATTGACCTTTCAAGCAATGGGCAGCTGAATTTGAGATTTGGTAATAATAACCTGAAAAGAAAGCCACGATAAATAATTGTAACATGCTCTGATTTTAGAATGGTAAAATTCATTTAATTACTGATAAAATCCCTGAATATTACTTGAAATGTGAGACCATTTATTTCTATTTTAAGGTAAAAGTAATCTGAACACAAAAAGATAGCATTAAAAATTTTAAGCCGTAGAATAACGTAGAAAGGACCCTGCCGGTTCACTGTCCCAAATCTTAGCCAATGCAGGAATTTCCTCCACTGTAATCCTGCAAACCCAAACTTCTTCACTCCCACCGCAGGGACTCATTTGGAGTCAGTGCGCATCATCTTTGGTTTTCACCATTTAAAATTCTTTTTCTTATATGGTACAAACCTGTTTTCTTAAAACTTTTGTCCATGAGTATAAAAATATATAAATATATAATGTAGGCATTTGACAATACCAACTTTGAATATAAAATTGAAGGCAGGATGAATTCTAAATAATGAGATTATTTTATAACATTGAATTTTTACTTTGTTTCCAGATCCTCACTTCTTTTTTTTTTAATTAAGAAAATGTTTCCTTAATGAATATCGATAGTCTCTTAGATGTTATATTTTTATTTTGCAATATTTGTGTTCTCAGCCCTTTGGAAATCAGAATTATTTAGTGTCATTATGGTGAGATCTTACATGTATAAGTTTTTTTTGTTTTTGTTTTTGTTTTTGTTTTTGTTTTTTACACAAAGTCAAACCAGTCACAGGATAATGAGTTTCACTCTTCTTGTTGATTGATCTCAGGATTGACCTCAGGTTGATTGTATTCAGTGAGCCAAAGTACTGAGGTTTCCTAAATCTCCAGGCCTCCTCCTCTGCTCTTCTACTCGAATTCTCCTACTTAGCCTGGAAGCAAACAACAGCTTGAGGGAAGCTGCTGAGAGGCAAGCAAACATGGGAGAACCCAAAAAACAATCCCACAAAAAAAAAGCTCATTTTTATCCTCTCTTGAGGTATCGTGACAAAGAAAACACCACTGCTGCATCCTCACAAATTTCTTTGAGAAATACTCATACCTTTCAATTCCTTTCGGCAATTATTTACTAAGTGCCAGGCACTGGGCCAGGATCTAGGCCTTATGCTAGTACTGCAGTTACAAGAAGCACAACTTGTGACATTCTCTTCCTTAAAAGTTAGCGGTGCTAAAGAGGACTCCCCTTCATTCACAGGGTAGAGACAGCTAAGCAACTCATGTCCTGTGGTGTTTCCAGGCTCCATGATGGCCTCGATGAGACCTTGGTGTTTTCCCAACAGTAGACAGTGCATGGAAGCAATGCTAGCCTCAGTTTACACATGAGATTTAAACAGTTTGAACCTCAGTTTACGCATAAATTTTTAAGAGTGAATTAAAAGAAAATTTTCCTATTAAAAATAGTTCATCATGGAAAAAATAAAACAAGACGAAATCAGAGAGGGAGACAAAATATAAGAGACTCTCAATCATCGGAAACAAACTGAGGGATGCTGGAGGGGAGGGGGTGGGGGGATGGGATAAATGGGTGATGGACATTAAGGAGGGCATATGATGTAACGAGCACTGGGTGTTATGTAAGACTGATGAAACAGTGACCTCTACCTCTCAAACCAATAATATATTATACGTTAATTGCATTTAAATAAAAATAAATATATTAAAAAAATAAAAATAATTCATCATACTTGAGGAGAAATCATTTGCTTTATTGCATAAATGACAATTTCAAGAGTGTACAAGAGTTTGCATTAGATCTATAAACTGGAAGATAGGGTATTCACGTCCAGACATCATTCTAGAAATGGGCAGTTCAAATATATTTGATATAATAAGATTTAGAATGTTACAAATATCTACGTTTGAGGATTATAAAAAAGAAAGCAAAGATAGGAATTCTGCTTGCCCACTCAGTAACTCACAAAGATTTATGTAACAATTTCCACAAACTGAGCTCAGAAACAGAGCAGTGTTACATTTTCTATGAACACAAACCATGAAATACTAGGGATGGTACTTTATATAATGTTGTTTGAGGCAATCTACATAGGAACTATGATCAAGACTCAAAAATGCACAAATTTGATAGGTCTTACACTTCCCATCGCAAATTACACTGCTGTCATAACTCACAAAGAAGTAATTGTAGTATTTTGTAAACTGCTCACTGCCTAGGACTGCAAATTGTTTAGCTAATCCATACAAACTTTTTGGCTGCAAATCTTCAATGCTATAGGTCTGAGTCAGCACATACTCCAGCTTCCAATTGGATTCTCCCTTTAGATTTGCATCTGTCAGGTTCAAATAATACTGCAACATATCCTATGTCAAAAACAAAGCTTGGTTCATTCTTTGGCATATAAAGTACTGCACAGCAAGAAGAGTCCTTATTAGGATTTGTGTGACATTCTTCATTTAAAGTTGTAGTCATTTAAAAACAGTGAGAAAAAAAAAAAGTCCCAATAGAAAAATCCATATTACTTTTTTCTATGGGAAATAATGAAGGAACGTAACAGAAAATAATCTCAACTATACAGAGAGATGTACAAAATAAAAAGCTTTTGATTCACACGCCTCAAAAGTAACCACTGCTAATAAAATCACTGCATATAAATCAGTGGTGTGCTGAGGCTGCTGCATCAGCTCGCAGAGCCGACCGTCCAATTTTTAGCAGTCTTGCAAGTTAATTGACATCACTTGGGCAGCTTAAAATTGGCCGTGATGGGAGTATCTATATCATGGAAATCGGCACTGTAAATTAAAGTGGGTTTTTTCTCCCCAATGAACAACTTGTTAAACCAGTGTATGTGTGTTGTTCTAGACTTTATGTACAAAACAAATATAAATATTTAGAATATATATACCTATTTACTATCTTTTTGGCTTTTTCAAAAAATGAAGTTATACAATGCACTGTTTTGCACTTTTAAAAATAATTCAGTGCTATATCACGGCATCTTCCCATGTCAGTATGTGTGTGTATATATACACACACATGTATATGTACATGTATACACATACATAATATATATAACATATATGTATATATACGTGTATGTGTATCTGATGTTCAGATCCCAAAATAGGAAACTAATAGTTGTAAAAATAATTCAGTCAACTGTTTTATTTAATCTAATGTTTACACATTAAATCAGACTTTCCCTGCCCTTCTTCCTTCATAAAAACATGTTCTACAGAATAAGACAGCTACCTCCTATTAAATTTATCTAGAAAAAAATGCATTTACATCAATAGAGCTTTAATTGAAAATTTCTTTTCAAATTATATTAATTAAAAGGGGCAGTACTCATAAGCAAAACACCCAGCCTTTCGAGGCTAAATTGATCTAAAACATAGTCGGGTGTAAGCTCCAGAGAACATGTGTCTCAAAAATAAATGTCCAGCTCAATTTATTTTCTTTACAAAAAAAAATTTGCCAACATGTATTGAGTGCTTACTATAAGCCAAGCATTTTTCTAAGTGTTTTACACATATCTGTTCACGTAATCCTGACAGCAACTCTGTGAGGTCAGTAATGCTTAGTTTAATCCTCATTTTACAGACGAATAGACTGGCGGCAAGGAAGTTAGGTAAAACAACTCTTGAAAGAGTACGGCTTCAGAGTCTACAATGATCTGCACAACTATGTTTTAGGGAAGAGTAATTAGTAATAAATAGGGCTTAGTGAAAAGTTTCAGTATGTATACAAGTCCACAAATCAGGCCCTGACTAATGTGCTAAACAAATGTGAAGTCCTTAGGACAGAAACAACCTCCCCAAAGCTGACCTCCTATACCCATACTTAGCAAATGCTGACACACCAAATATAAAAAAGAAGAAAGACATCATGAGATTTCAACATAGAAACAACTTACATAGTTAAGCTGAAAACATTCAACTAAACTAATGAAAACTGTACAAAGACATGCATAATTCTAAAATTGTGCCAACTTACCAATAATTTATAATCATGAGGATCATACTGAAATAGCCTGACGCCAGGATTGTTGGTCTGTTTTTGCAAAACACTCTTCACTGGGGTAACAGCAGGAGCCACAAACAAAGAATTTATTGGACTTCCTGGATAAAACATATGTACATAAACATATTTTTTAATTGAGTTTAACTTTATTAAAAATGTGAACAAATTCAAATTAAGAGATTAACAGACATCACAGCCAAATGACATATGGTCCTTGATGAATCCTGACTTGAAACAACTATAAAGAGACACTTTTGAGAAAATAGAGAAATCTTTATTATGATTTGGTATTAGATGATACCAAAGAATTTTTGTTGATCTTGTTAGGTAAGTCAATCATATTAAGATTATGTAAGCTAGTCATATATTTAGCAATGCATACAGAAGCACGTAGGGCTAAAACAGATCTAATGTTTGAGACTCACTTTCAAATACTTAAGGAAAAGAAAAAAGAATAAAAAAATGAACAGATAAAGCAAATGTGGCAAAATCTTGATAGGTGTCAAATATAAGTGATGGTACATGGGGGGTTGTTTTATTATTCTCTGCTTTGGGGCATATTTGAAAATTTTCATAATAACAAAATCCAAGTTATTACAAGTACACACACACACAAATACAAAACTAGTTTGTTCTATGCATCTACCTAGAGCAACATGCCAATAATGACACATAAGAATCTGATTAATGTCACCATGTTTTTATACATAGCTACTATAGGACTAAATTTCTGAGTAAAAAAAGCTATCAAATGCTGAAAAATGGTCATTTTTTTACCAAGCCTATTCATTGTAGATGAAAGAGGTAATGCATTTTGAAAACATTCCCCAATTGCTGAAAAAAATATGTAGTTTTTTTCCCTAGCTGACTACTCTAAAATCAGAACTCTTATTTTGTTAACTCCCAATTTCTTGTCCTTGTGAGGAGGTCATCTTTAAAAATAAGTAATCATTGTTTGTTTGATGCTCGAGCTTCTTCTATTTTTTTTTCTTCTAATTCTGAGTAAATGACAATGTTGATTTGCACTTAAAATTAAGTGCTTGATATATTTTAAACCAATGGTAAATTGTGCTTTGCTAATCAAATTCTGAGAAGTAAAACAAATCATATCACAAGAAATTTGAGTCTAGGAGGTAAATAACGAACAGCAGTATTTCTCTCAACGTGAGGATCTGAAAGAAAAGTTGAGTGAGCTGAGGGTTTCAGAGGGTTTTTTTGTTGACAGCTATCAAATGATGGTGGCCCCGTGGAACAAATAGGGAGAAACCCAACTGCAGGCCTAAATATGAATTAGACACTTGACTTACAAGTATAAAAGATAATTCAGAAAAATCTGGGGCTGGCAGGTTGATTTAGTGAAACTTTTAATTTGCTGGCTCAATAAAAATTACCGGATATCCACTGCTCTGCTCTAGCATCTTGGATTGGGGAGATGCAAACAGAATATCATATTACCTTTTTTATCAGAAAGAACCATCATGCTATCTCTGTGAGTGTGTCCATAAAATTGTCCTGCAATGACACTGCTGTATTTTCTGAAAATATCTATCAATTTCTCATTATGGACTTCCCTCATTGCTGTGGTGCTGCCGGAATAGGGCAGATACCCCACCGGAATATGTGCTATGATGTACACCTGGAAAAAGAAACACAAGGAAGACTGATGAGAATCTTTTTGCACCCTTACCACAACCAAATGACATTTAGATACCCGAGATTGAAAGTATATTAATTAAAATTTAGAAAGCTAATATCCCATCTCTCCTATGCCCCCAAAAAGATGAAATTCTAAAACTATCAATATCACTACATTTGCATTTGACTCATTTAAACTACACTGTTGATGATATTTGGTAACTGTGAACTTGGTCACAATTTTTTTTTTAATAAAAAAACAGATATCAATCAGTCCTCAAGCATTAAAAGCAAAGCAAAATCAAACAAACACAACAGAGTTAATTAAACCATAAGGTGTTTCGTGTGAAAACATCTTCATATTTTAATACTTTTATTAATACCTGACCCCACTCGAGTTAATAAATGCACACATTTAGCCCCTGTTTATCCCCAGATAGATTTTGGTCTCTGGGATCTACCTTCTCCTTATTTTGCTGAGAGGTGTTCAGTGTATTCTCCAGCCATTCAAACTGATTTGCTGGGTCAGTCTCATTCAGAGTCACAATATTTGGGCCATAGTACAAGTTTGTGTTTAGACTGATGATCCTAAGGTTCAGATTAGGTGATACTTTCTGTGAATAAAAGCCCCCTATAAAAAGAAATTTAAGACACACTCTAGAAAAACACACGTAGAGATTCACAGTGACTATGAAAGCAAATTCTTAATCATGGCTCACAAGCCAGTCAGGAAGGTTATACTTATTTCTCATTATTTAGTTTGTATGTACACAGGCTGTTCTTAAATAAGAATCAGGTTTAATACTGAAAACCTACTGTGTGCCAGGTCCAGCGGCAGCCTTCCCACATACCGAGCTAATCATAACAGTTGTATCCAATATTCAGATGAAACATGAATTGTTTGGGCACTAGGCCACGAGGTATCGAATTTTAGAAAAGAAATATTAGTGCATCAACTTCTACCTCTGCATGTTTGGGTATTTAAGATGAGAGATAGCATGAAATATAAAATGCAAAGAATGGGAACACAGCTGGACCTTGCCAGAGACTGCCTTGGAAGAGACGTCAGGTAAACCAGAGCTGCTACAGTCTCCGGGGGGATGAGGCTTAAAGGCAGAACCCCACCCACACCCACGAGCCGGTGATGACAACACCCAAGGAGCTGCTGCAGTGGTACTTTTAGAGCTGGTCCCTGACCTTGGACCTGCTCGCTTTGCCCTGGGTCCGCTTGCCACCCCTGCCTCTCCTCAGCTTTCAAATATGACTTATGGCCTCCAGAAAAACTGGGCACATCCAGAATGAATACACCCAAGCAAACATTAAAGATCTTAGTTTAAACAATATGAATAAAAATAGAGACAAATTAAGGATGAATAAATCTTTCACTTACCTTTCCGTAAAGTATGAATAGCTTCTTCATCTAACCAGGGTTTCCAGAGATCTGCTACTGCATTGTATACCTTGCTGGTGACTACAGGCAGTTGATCCTGGCCACAAACAATATAACGTGGATTAACTAATTTAAACATTACTTGAGCACATACCACTATGTTAGACATCTGGAGATGCAAGGATGAATACTAGATAGACGTAACCTTCAAGGAATTTATAACTCAAGGAGACAAAAAAAATATATAATCAATCACCTATAAGACAATGTGCAAGGTGATACTACAAAGGTTCTAGGAGGATAGAGGCGTGAATAATTGAGTCTGGCCCACAGCATCAGGGGGGAAAGTAAAGAGAACATACAAACCAGGCCTTGAATAATGATTTCATCAAGTTGACAAGAAAGGGCATCAAAGCAAAGACAATGACCCAGACGCCAACATGCACAGTGTAATTTACAGAGAAAAGCACTTTTGCTGGTTGGCCAGGATATAGGATAGATGTGGGAGTGAGCTCATTAAACAGACACAGAGGCAGGTTTGAGCCTGAACATGCATGCTGGTATAGCACGCTGAGGGAATGGAGAAAACTTCATGGTTTTAGAACTAAACAATGTCCTCTGAAATGCTCACCCCAGTATAAAACTTCTGAACTTCTTGAATGAAAATTTACAACCACATGATTTTGATTTGAAGATGTCTCTTTATATCAACAGGTTCTGATTTTTTTTTTTAAGATTTTATTTATTTATTTGACAAACAGAGACAGCGAGAGAGGGAACACAAGCAAGGGGAGTGGGAGAGGGAGAAGCAGGCTTCCCGCTGAGCAGGGAGCCCGATGCGGAGCTCGATCCCAGGACCCTGGGATCATGACCTGAGCCAAAGGCAGACACTTAACGACTGAGCCACCCAGGCGCCCCACAGGTTTTGATTTTTTTAAACAATATG